CATTTAAAAGTATGAAATCTAGTAAGCCCTACTATGTCAGTGAATTTATAATATGTTACATGTAAGAATTAAATGAGAGAATTGCTACATAGAAGGTGTAGATACTATTGTTGTATGCTTTTATAGATTATGGAATAAAATTCAAAGTCCTACCGTCAGTTTTCATAATGTTAATAGAATCTAAGCATTCTTCAACCCCAGTGACAGTGTTACTAAATTAGTGTTTTTGTTTTGGAGGATAGCTTTATCCTAAGTAGCCAGTGGCATGGTAGTGTTTGATAATGGAGACATCAGTATTTCCAGTTAATTTATTGTAGAATAATATAGTTTCTTGAAAATGTAAGTTGCTTATTTTTAAAGAGGTCTTTTTTTTTTTTTAATAATCCAAGCCCCCAAATTTATAGAGTTGCATAGGAAAGCAGATGTTATCACAAATCAGAAGTACTCACTGGTCAACCAACCACTAATAATATTGATTCCCAGTACTTTGTGTGCCCGCCTACCTAATCCACACTATCAGTTTTGCTTTGAGGTTCTCTGTGCAGCTGCTCAGGTCCTTCTATGAATGCCTCTTTGAGCCAGGATGGATTGGAAATTAGCTGTTGAAGGAGGTCAATATTGACCTCTTCTAGAGGTTAATTGGCATCACTACTGTGTAGGGACCAAGAGGCATTGCTGAATCTATATGAGAATGATATTAGGAGGGCTAAGGATAATTTTCTTGGGGTGTTGAGTAGAAAAAACAAACTGCTTACTTCTGCTATACTCTCACAACAACACACAACGCTTCTGTGATCAGATGTATGGGAGATTTTCTCCACACACCAAGCCAGCAATTCCCCAGCTGGGTGTCCTCTAATGTAATTCAGTTCTTGGCAGTATTTACCTAGAGGTAGTGTCACAGTCCATAGGTTGAGGCCTCAGTCCTGCAAGACTGCCTCCCCCTGCCACCGCTCCATGCACATGCATGTGCACACACACACACACACACACGCAATATACACATACATACATACATACATACATACTCTTTTAAGATGCCAGTTGGAAGCCCCAGGCTGTTTTACCTTTGCTTCTGACAGACCAGCTATAAATCAGGATTCCCACAAACTCCCTCCTTTGGGTCCAGCTAATTTGCTAGAGTGGCTTGCAGAACTTAGGGAAATACTTTACTTAACATTTACCAGTTTATTACAAAGGCTATTAGGAAGGAGATAGATGAACAGCCAGATGGGAAAGATGCATAGGTCCAAATATGGGAGAAGGGGTGAGGAACTTCCATATATGTTCTCACCAGGTGAGCCACCCTCCAGTAATTTCCATGTGTCCAGCTACCTAGAAGCCCATCCACACCCAGTCCTTAGGGATTTTTAGAAAGGCTTCACTCTAAAGGCACAATTGATTAAATCATTGACCACCCATAACCAACGTAACTATCAGCCCCTCCTGTATCCTTAGAGCTTAGGGGTTGTGGCTGAAAGTTTCCAGCTTCTCATCATGCCTTGGTCTTTACTGTGACTAGCCCACACCAGAAGCTATCTTTGAGCCCCCAGCCATCAGTCAACTTGTTAGTATACACAGACAGTTAGCACTTTGGAGATCATAAGGCTATTAGAAGCTATTTGTTAGGAAATGGGAAAACCAAATATATATTTTACAGTATCACAGATGTCTTTAAAGAAAAGTTACTTCAGTAGTATGTATCGTTTACTCATTTAAAAAAAAAAAAAAAGAGCGTATTAAGTGTGTTTAGGTGGCTTCTGCACTCCAGGCACTTTTTATGTATTATTAATGTAATACCCTTAACTGTGAGAGGTAGGTAGTTGGATTTTCCTGTTCACTGACTAAGGCTCAGAGAGCCATATTGAATAGACTATTCCTGAGCCTATGTGAACACTACTGTAATACTTAGCCTGGCAATTTTTTGGTCATAATTTGTCCATTGTGTCTGAATTCTATTTCCCTGAAGTTATCCCCCTTGAGCCTTCCTATTCCGTATTTTTCTAGTGTATCATAATCAGAGTTCTGAATTCCACATGCTATAGCAGAATAGTGGATAACTTTCTCCTTCATGTGCTAGAATTAATTTATTTTTACTAATAATAGTATTTATTGAATATTTCCTAGGTTATAAAACACTGAAGGCACTATACATACAATTGAGAAGAAGAGCTGCAATATAGAATTAAATTTGAAGGAAGAATTTATATTACTTAGACTTGCCAATTGTTGGAGACTTTCTGTGATATGCTCATCCCTCTTATTTCTTTTGGGAAAGAGGAAGTTGGGAAGAGGTCAAAAACATTAGTTTTAGGACCCAAATGAGTTTATTGGAAGGGATCAGAAGCTAGGATGGGAGGAACTAAAGGAATGCCTTAAGTAAAAGGAGTATAAGTAGGCTTGCTTTCTTATTTAACCTGTGTGAAAACCTACTTTTATTAAGCCAGCAATATAAGTACTTTAATAGTATCATATTTAAGCTGGTTGGCTTTGATAGCAGAACATGATACGGATATTATCAAGTTCTTGATAGCTTTATATTTGATGTCAATGACAAGTTAGGTAAGTTACAGTACTTTAGTGCCTTCTGCTAATTAATTAGAAGTAAAGTGAACTGGGCACTTCCTGAGCAGTAGGTAAAAGGATCTAGAATGAGAAAGAATGACTAGAAAATAGTCTGATACAACATGAAGGACTATGTTCAGGTGCCTGCAGCTGAACTTGAAAAGCCTTATGAATTTACTTCAACAAGGGAATCAACTGCATTTCTATACTTGAGTAGGTCCAATGATTTTATTTTACTAGTTCTTGTGATATTTATAAATACAGTATCTTTATTTATTTAAAAGCCTGTTATGGTAGTTTCTCTTGTGATTATTGTAGCAATTTCTTTTGTGATTATTATAGTAATTTCTTTTGTGATTAATTTTGACCTTATATTGTCTTTGATACAATTTTATAAAAACGTAAAAGTATAAATGAGAAATTTTAACCTATATACCTTCTTGATTATGGGTAGTTTTTTATTCATAGTAAGTGGTCAAGAAGGTGTTTTTGTTTTGTGCTGGGCCTTCCTGAGAAAGTCACTGTGATCGTTTATTTTCCTATATGGCAGTGCATCCCTCATCTGTTAGTCATACATGTTTCTGCAATTATGTTCATTGGTCGTGATTTATAGAAAGCTGAAATATTTAAAGTAATTTAGAAATTTGCTGTTATTTGAGTTTAGTGTGGCAGTTACTCTCTGAAGTCCTCAGGTCTGGGTTGGAATTGCAGTTCCTCAAATCCTCCGCAGCTGGGTGTTGCTGGACAAAATTGGCCTCTCTAAGCTGGTCTCCTAATTTATCCAGTGGGGATGATAGTAACCTCAGAGAGGTGCCATAGGAGTGAGTGAGTGAATAATGCTGTAACATCCTTAGTACAGTGCTGCACACTCATCTTCAGAAAATGGTAATTGTTACACCTGCTACTGATATAGTTAAGGTTGTGAACCATAGGTAAAATTTATTGTGATTTTTAAATGATTGGTTTACAGAAAAGCTTTTTACACTATTGGGAATACTATCTTAAGGGCACTTGATCATCATCTGATTATGCTGATTGTTGTAATACTCATCTTACTGCATTACTAATAATAGCTACCACTTTATTGAGTGCTTACTAAGAGCTTTATGTTTAATTTTATTTAATTCCCACAATTATTATGAAGCAAGCATTATTACATCTATTTTTACTGATTGGGAAACTTAAGTGTAGTAAGACAAAATCACCCATCCAGCCCAGCTGGACAGTGGGAAGACTGATTCCCTTCAGATCTAAGTCCAAAGCCCATGTTCTTTAACCCCATGGCTGCTCACTAGACACTTTGCCATTTGCTTTTCTGTCTCTCCTGGGAAACCTGTTTCCTAAAGGGGGAACTGCACATTATTTGCATTCCAAGGTTACATTTATTTTTCAAGCTCTTTTAAACTAAAAGTAATGTGTAGTGTATAACATCAGAACTTACTAATGTAAGTGAAGCTTAATAGCTTAGTAAGAATCTTTCTTATTGAAAAATAACAAAATTTCCCATTCTAACAGAAAACTTGAAGCATTAGAACTTGTTTTTCAGACGTATTGCCAGTCTTTGCCATGGTAACAATTTGAATTTACTATATTTGGCTTTGCATTAGTGTACACTAAGTACTCACTTAATCTTCTTTTCAGGTTATAAGCTTCTTTCATTGCAGTACAGGACCTGGCTCAGTGCTTGTGTGCTTAATGCATATTTGATTTTAATTTATTTCAGTGTCAGTATTAATGTTGATCTGAAGTATTTTCAGATTATTTCAGTTGCTTGGTATTTATCAGTGAGCAAAACAATGATCCCTGCCTTCATCTGAGTTTATGTCCTGGTGAGGGGGCACAGTTGAGGACAGTAAACACAATAGAAAGTTTATTTAATGTGTTAGGTGATAAGTGCTATGGGAAAAAGAAGGTAGAGCACGGTAAAGGTGGTCAGAGAGGCTTAGATGAAGAACTGAAGAAGATGACATAGTTAGTATAGCTGTTAGTAGATATTTGGAGATTCCCAGGCAGAGGGAACAGTGAGAGCTAAGATCCAAAGGAGGGGGCCTAGCTAGGTAGAATCAGCAGAGAGACCAGTGTGGCTGGAGTAGAGTGGATTGCGACAGGTGGGTGAGGGTATGCCAGAATTGTGGGGAGATCAGATCAGAAATGAGGTAAAGGGGGCATGGATGATGTTTTTGCTTTGTCAGATGAATTTGGTAGGATGTGAATGCATGTTACACAAAAATTCTTAGAAGCTGTGTGTTTTTTGGAGTAAGGATCAGAAATTTAACTTTTTCTTTTCTTAATCACAGATTACATTTGTATGTCTTTATTTGTGGCAATTTGAACTTTGTATTTTATATAGTCCATTAATATTCAGAAACTCGAATTTCAAGGTCAGCTTATGGTATTAATAATCTCTGTACTTCTTGATTTCTTTTTTTTAACAGGAGTATGCTGCTGCTGTTCTGCTTTGCGTCCTCGCTACAAACGCCTGGTGGACAACATATTCCCTGAAGATCCAAAAGTAATTTGATCTACATCTACTGATCCTTCTCTTTGCTGACCCATTCTGCCCCCCGCTGACCTCCCTAAGGTTTCCCTAATTTCATTTCTCTACTTTTACCTCTATATCTCATCATTTATACTACTTTTTTTATACTTTTATTTTTTTTAACTCTTAAATGACCCATGCTTGCTTGTCTAGTTTTCAGATTCTTTTAGTAGATGAGGCACAAATCCGGAAAAATGGACAGTTGATGTTCTTTTATAGTTTATATAGTATCTAATTTAAGTAACACTGTCTCATTAAAAATTTATGAACCAGTGCCAGATTATTTAAACTCAGTGCTCATGATACCAGTGTGAACAGAGATAAGGTTTTCTACTCTCACTATGCACATATATAAGTAAATTGGTAATTACAATCTGTTGTGGAAAAAATCTTGTAATAGACGAATGAAGTATGAGTTGCTACTGAAGTAGGCAGGAGTGATACCCAATTTGGGCTGAGGAGAAGAAAGCCTGGAGGAAAATTCTAAGCTAAGATCCAAAGAATAAATAGGGATTGATCACACCGTTTTTAGAAGAGAACTGAGAAGTAAAGAAAGACTGTTTCAGGCAGAGTTTTTCTTTTTACTTAAATACTATTTAATTTTTATAACAATTATTTTATTTGTGAATATTACTGTTCCAAAGCAACTGGTTGGGGTGATTTTGTTTCACATTGCCTCAACCTTCTAAGACAGGCGTCCCCAAACTTTTTACACAGGGGGCCAGTTCACTGTCCCTCAGACCGTTGGAGGGCCGCCACATACTGTGCTCCTCTCACTGACCACCAGTGAGAGAGGTGCCCCTTCCTGAAGTGCAGCGGGGCCAGATAAATGGCCTCAGGGGACCGCATGCACGGGCGTAATTTGGGGACGCCTGTTCTAAGACTTCTGTAGTCTCATGTTAAATGAATATAAACAAAAAAGAAAGTTATGTGGCTTTTGGCTTCCAAAATTTGCTTTCTTTTAAAATGTAACAGACTATATGAAGCTTTTGGTTATCTTAACATTAACTTAATGTTAATATATCTCATTTTTAACCAAATCTATTTAAACATTCAGTTATGTAGAGGAGATTAATGAATTAAATGTTATTGGCTGCCAGATATCCTGGATAATTTGTGGTATATAAAAAACCCTAAGATATGGTACTTGCCTTTAAGGACCTTTCCATCCAGTAACTGACATAAAGCAGAAACATACTACATATGAAATTACAGTGCATACATTAGTAAGTAAAATGCAAAGTAAATCAGGTGGAAAGTTTTTGTCTCTAAAGCAGGGAGGTATCACTGTGGGTTGGCAATCTCTGGGAAGCATTCGCAGAAGAAATGAGATTTGCTGAGCTTTGAAGGATATATACTATCTGGAGAGGCAGACAAGATTAGTCTCTTTTATTGCAAATGAGGAGAAAGAGAAAAGACTTGGAAAGCAAGACATATATTTGAAGTCTAGAGCAAATTATCCATCGACTTGAGGTGAAGGTTTTTCTAACCTAATCGTAGAGTGTAGGTGCGGTAATCGTGTTGACATGAGTTCTCATTTGAAATTTTAGATGTTATTAGTTAATAGGCTGAATTTTTCAAATAATTATTTTCCTGAGAAGTCTGGGACATGCCGTTACTGAAGGTAAGGTGGAGGCCAAATTTTAGAGAATTGTCAATGACAAGCAAGGCCTCTACTTCAGCCACTTTAACTTGTAGGCAGTGAGGGAGCTTTGAATACTTGATCATTTGAATGACCACAGGTAAATTAAAGAAAGTATCCTTATTTTTGGCAAGAATTAATATAAGATTTATTTAAATAGCAATCTTTAAGATCAGATTTTAAAAAAGGAAAAGATCTACATGAACCTTGAATACATATGGCAAACATTACTCAATTTGACATACTTATTATTTTTAATTTATTAAAACAAATCTTGTGGTATGTCCATAATGGGTTAGACGGTAGGTGCCCAAATGCAGAAGCAAACATGTCATAGTCCCTGCCTTGAAAGAAAAATCTAGTGAGGGGGACAGATAAACAATTTCTTAAAATTAGTAGCTGGATAATCTTGGGCAGGTCCCTTGGTTTCTCTGGTTTCTCATTATGTAATGGAGTAATAAATAGTACCAATCTCATAAGGTTCTCATGAGGACTAAATGACTTAAGTGAGCAGTTCTTTGCTCACTGTTACTTTCCTAATCTATCATAGTACCCAGCACATAGTTGGCACTCAAAATTTGTTTAATCAATGAAAAGATAACCTGATAAAATATAATAGTGGAGATAAGTACTGTGAGCTAAAAGAACATATAGTTGGAACATCTCACCCAGTCTTGGTGGTGGAGCTTTTGGGAGGGTGCAACATGTTTTTGGAGGAAGCTAAGACCTAAAGAATGAGTAGGAATTATCCCCAGATGGACTGAGAAGGGTTCCTGGGCAAAGAGGTGAGTTGAGTGAAAGAAGTCTTGCACAAAAGATATGATTTGTGAACTGTATGATTTTATTTATGTCAGATGCATGCTGATTCATAGTGATAAAAAGCAGAGCAGTGGTTGCCTGAAGAGGGAGAGAGAGAGACTGCACAGGACATGGGAAATCTTTTGTAAATGATGAAAATGTTCTGTACATGTTGAACATCCCTAATCCAAAAATCTGAAATCTGAAATGCTCCAAAGTTGAAAACTTCTTGAGCACTGACATGACACTCAAAGGAAATGCTCACTGGAGCATTTTGGATTTTGAATTTTTGGATTAGGGATATTGAACTTGTTAATTATCTGCAAATATTCCAAAGTCTGAAAAAATATCCGTAGTTGAAACATTTCTGATCCCGAGCATTTTGGATGAGGTATCCTCAACCTGTATCTTGTTTGTAGTGGTGCCTTCACAGATGTACACAGCTGTCATATTTCCAATTATATACTGTATATCAGTGCAGTAACTTATATATAGATTGTTCCTCATTAAAAGTAAGGGATTAAAAATATAGGTGATACACAATTGTATTTAAATGATGGTGTGGATGAACTGATAAAGAGGTAGAGGTCAAGGAACTAGGAGTAAGAGAGGTTAACTGATGAAGCCAGATCCTGGGACTGTACGCAGAAGACAGAGCAGAGGCAAACCAGTTCCCCCTGGACAGGAACACTGAATTTCTTCACTTTGCCTAGGGCAGGGTTCCCAACTTAGATTCAGTTGACATTTTGGTTCAGGTAATTATTTGCTTTTGGGGGCTATTGTGTGCATTGTGAAATATTTAGAAAGCTCCCTGGCCTCTACCTGTAGCTCCCAGTACCCACCTCTTCCCATCCATGACAACCCTTAATGCCTTTAGACATTGCCCTGGAGGGGCTCAGTTACCTCTGGTTAAGATCTACTGACCTAGCAGGCAGTGAGAAAGCAGGGATGTTTTTGCCAGTTAATACTAATCTGATGGTTTCCACCTTCGCTGAGAAAGAGAAGAGCTTATTTGCTGTCAGAGAGAGGAGAGAAGCTCCAAAGTAGCAAGTTTGAGGAAAACAGAATAGGTGGAAAATATGAGGGGGTGACTCAACCAGGGACACAACAAAATAGCCAAAGGACATTGAGGGACCAGTTGAAGATGAAAACACAAATTTACACAATTTTTGTTGTAGATTCACCATCTAACAGTTTCTCTCTCTCTCTCTCTCCCTTCTCACCTATTCCAGTATTCCTAAGCACACTTACTTGGGTTTATGGCCAAGAAATTTATATGGTAACTGGGGAGAATTTGTGGACCTGTTGCACATCATCTTTTAGATGGCAGAGACAAGTGACCGTTTTATAATTTCCACATCAGGGACCTGTTGTTGCTTTTAAAATATATCAAATAAGCATAGACTCTGCAGTTCTGAACCCTTTCTCATTTATTAATTACAACAAAACCTTATAATGACATCACTGAGTTCTGAATCATTAAAAAAAGCAATATGTTCACTATTGTATAAGTAAATGAGTAAAACAGGCTTAATAATAATTCAAGTTTTTAAGTTGAAATAAATTTTGTTTGAAATCTTTTTACATCTATATCCCATTTCATACATGCTGCAGATAATTGAGCTATGTCTCTATAAAGGAAGACAGTAGAGTCTAATTTATTTTTGTGCTTCGCATAAAGGGGGTATTCTAAACAACTTTTTCAAAGTTCTATGTATCCATCATGGTGAATATTAGCACTAAGGAGGTTATATACAGAAGGGTTCTACATAAATATGGTTTAATCCCAAATCCAAAAAGGGGAAATGGTAAAGCAGGCAACACTTAAAAATATAAGCATGAAAATATAGATAATCTATTTATCTTGTTATTCTTATTATTTTTAGGATGGCCTTGTGAAAGCTGATATGGAGAAATTAACATTTTATGCCGTATCTGCTCCAGAGAAACTGGATCGAATTGGTTCTTACCTGGCAGAAAGGTTGAGCAGGGATGTTGTCAGACATCGTTCTGGGTAAGGAAACTAATCGCTGCTAAAATCGTATCTTTGGAAAATTCTTCCTAGACAAATCATTCTATAGATTATTTTGCCATTTAGTGACACAAAGATAATATATAGCAGATTAAAGCATTGTAATATACAAAGAAATGTATAATACTCCTATAGATGTTGTGGCCTTTATTACTCCCCTGGTGGTCAGATTTTGTGAATAGACTAACATTAGTTAACTGAGTTACCTTTAGCTTGCTTCTATTGATTTTTGAGATTTTTCTAATGGGATAGTAGAAATTGACTTGCTTAGTCTATCAGTGCAACACTGTAACTTAAAAATCAGTCTCTAAATTGAAAATAAACAGAAAGATCCTGTAAAGCAGATGATTTTTTTTCACACAGCTTTAGTTTTACCTCTCAGAGGAATAGTAAGAGAGAATCATGTTAGACTTAGATATCAAGGCTCAGAAAATCCCAGCATGCTAATTTGAAACTGTTACTAGATATACTCCTACTGATAAGTAGAAGTCCACCATCCTACTATATTCCCTGTGCTCGAACAATAATAACTTTGCAATTTGGATTATAAATACTTTCTTATTCTATCATTTTATGATCCAAGTTTATTTGAGTATTCTCCAAGTGATACATTAGCTTTCTGTACTTCTGCATTGTTATAACTTAGAACATTTTATTAAGTCGTGGCACAGATAGCTTTATGGTTGATTGTTGAATGAAAGTTATCTACAGACTGAATTTTAATTTTTTTTTTTTTTTTTAGATTTACCCTTTAAAATGTGAGGATTTGTTACATGTACAGAATGTGTAAATACCAAGTCGGGGTATTTGGGCTATCCATCACCCCAAGTTACTTGTCATTTCTTGTGTTGGGAACATTTCAAGTCCTTTTCTAGCTACTTTGAGATATGTAGTACATTGTCGCTAACCTCAGTCACTGTACTGTGCTGTTGAACATTAGAACTTATTTGTATTATCTAATTTTGTAAGTTTGTATTCACTAACCAACCTCTCTTCATCCCTCCATACCACACCCTGCCAGCCCCTACCCAGCCCCACTTACCTGCCCTTCCTAGCCTCTGGTATCTGTCTGAATTTTAACTACAAAATATAAAATCTGATGAATTGTAAAGTAATATTTATGAGACTTTGAAAATAATATTCTGTTGCTGATAGTGTTTTATCTACTCATATTTACACATATAAGTAGATTATATTGGAAATTGTCATATTACTAATTATTTTGGGTTAGATACAAGTAAATATGGTTAAAAGTCTGGAAAATAGAAAATGTCCGTATTTACAAAGAAAAATACACAAAATTAATGTTAAAGAAGCTCAGATAGTTAAGGAGAAATGGAGGAATACAGAGTATATTTTCTGTATGCTTCAATATAAGGATTGTTTTATAACCTGCAAGATCATTAGTGCTATGTGAGAATTAAGACATTACTTAGGAGTTACTAAATTTGCGTTTCTTTCTTTGGTGTATTTTAATAGACTTATGTCAATTCTTCCAATGGAAAGCATTTAGGAGAATTAAGAGAGGTAGAAATGCTTTGACATTTTTTTTTCTTCTACATGTAGGTATGTTTTGATTGCTATGGAGGCACTGGACCAACTTCTCATGGCTTGCCATTCTCAAAGCATTAAGCCATTTGTAGAAAGCTTTCTTCATATGGTGGCAAAGCTGCTGGAATCGGGGGAACCAAAGCTTCAAGTTCTTGGAACAAATTCTGTGAGTAAAACTGTAATGTTACTAATTTTGTTTAATTAGAATATCTAGAATTAATCGCTTCTTAGAATGTCCTTACCTGGTAAAGACAAATTTCCTGAATTCAACAGTCAACACAAATTAAGATAGTTAGAATTATTTGTCTCTCACTTTTTCTGTTGTTTCTTGTGAAATATGTGGTATTAACTGATCGTAATAGAATATTTGCCTGTAAATGAATGCACACCTGTCATTTTTATTTTCTCTTGGTCATTCATTTATTGCAACGTTAACTTTGTGTCTTACACTTCCTTTGAGTTTCGTGCCTTTTCATTAATTAAGGTTGTTTCCATTTTTATGGCTGGTATGAATAATGCTGCTGTGAAGATTTGTGTACAGGTTTTTGTGTGGATGTATGTTTTTCATTCTCTTGGGTATAGTATACACACTACAAAGTACATACATTTAGTAGTATATACACTTTCAATCATCCTAGAGGGTCTGAAGTGGTATCTCATTGTGGTTTTGATTTTCATTTCCCTAATGACTAATGGTAAAACTTTGCATGTGCTCACTGACTGTTGTGTATATTTTCTTTGGAGAAGTGTCTGGTCAAATCCTTCTCCCCTGTTTTTCAGTTGTCTTTTTATTGTTGAGTTGTAAAAGTTCTTTACATATTCTTAATAAGAATCCTTTGTCAGATATATGATTTGCAAATATCTTCTCCAGTTCTATGGTTTTGTCTTTTCACTTTCTTCCTGGTATGCTTTGAGTCACGGAAGTGTTGATTTTGATGAAGTCTACTTGCTTTTTTTTCCTTTTATTATTGGTGTGTGGGGGTGTGTATGTGTGTGTGTGGTAGGGGGTGGTGGATGGGTATGATTTTAGTTTCATATCTAAGAAACTATTGCCTAATCTAAGATCACAAAGGTATACTCTAATAGTTTATTTAAAGAGTTTTACAGTTTAGGTTGGTATTTAATAAGCCATTTTGAGTTAGCTTTTGTATGTGATGTGAATTCAGCATTCAACTTTATCCACATTTTGCATGTGGATATTTAACTATGCCATACTATTCGTTGAAAAGCTTAATCTTTCCCCTTGAATGGTCTTGGCACCCTTTTAAAAATAAATTTACCATTAATGTTAAGGATTTGTAACTTTATTCTTTCCTAGACTACTTCTGAACTATTTCTGCTCACCACATTCATTTTCTTCTATCTTGAACCATAGTTCATTAAAATATGGTTGGGGAAAGCATACCTAATTAAAAAAGAAAATACAGTGATATTATTTCTTCCCTTGTCTTTAGCTTCATTGTATTACCTTCAGTCTTTCAGTTCCAGCTTCTTCTTTGAGAAGCTTTAAGGCATTCAACCTACGTGAATACTGTATGTTTCTATTCAGATTTTTAATCAAAAAATAAAATAATCATGTATTACCTGCTATTGTTTATGGATAATTATTTTCTGGTATAGGAAGAGGAAGTATACGAGGTGCTGACAGTGTGGATTCCAGAGTCCGACCGTCCCAGCTTGAATTACACCTGTACTGCTTTCTAGCTGTATATCTTGAGCAACTTATTTATTCTCCTCTTGCCTCAGTTTTTCATCTGTGAGAAGAGGATAATGAGACTACCAGTCTCACAGGATTGTTGTGTGACATGAGTTGACATATATGAAGCTCTTGGAACAGTGCATGGCACTGTTAGTTATTACTGGTAGCAAGAGTGTTAAATAAAACTCTCATTCAAACTCTTAATATTATTTTTATCACTTATTTCAGCAGGAAAATACTGGGTATTTCCAAATGCATTTAGATGATGTGACAAGCTTAGTTTCAGGCAAGGTAGCTACTGAGGCTTCTCCTGTTTTGTTTACATTAGGTGAGGAAAGTTTAGGGGAAATAGCTTTATAGCCAGAGGGAGAATTTTAGTATGCATTTCCAAAAGTTTCTTTACTTGCAGCCAGCAATGCCTTTAGATTGCTTTAATAAGTTAATTTGGGCAAAAGACCAAATTCCCCAGTTATCTACCTTAATTTGAGTGAACTTTATTAAACGAAATGCCATATTATCTATATTATCTTGACCAATATTAAGTACTTAGTATTTTCTTGTGGTCTAATTTTCTTAGTGGTACTGAGTGCCCCATGTTGTCAAACATGACCAGCACTGATTTAAGATTTATAAATGGTCTTCCTATGGTTTAATTTGTTGCCGTTTTCCTCTTCATGGTAATGCCAACTCAGTATGACCGTAATAGAGGCAATGTATTTTGGTTTTCCTTTGTTTCAGAAATTGCGCTATTTTTTATTTTTACCTCTTTTTTATTGTCAACTGTTTCAAATACAGAAAAGTATGGATCATAATATGGCTGTATACCTACTGATTCAAGAAAGAAAAATGTTACTATTAATATCAATAAATGATAATATATAATTTTGTTAGGAAAATAATACATAATGGTAATAAACGTTAATACTATGCAACATTGGTTCATGTCTTTTTAAAGACATAATACAGTATTTGCTAGATATTTTACATATATTATGTCATAATTCTCACAAAAACCCTTCAAGCTTAGAAATATTATTTTCATTTTATAGATGAGGAATTGCAGCTAAATAACTTGTCCAAAGACATAGTTAAGTAATGCTGTATATAACGGGGATTCAGTCTTAGGTCTTTCTTACTTCAAAGCTTATGTTCTTTGTACAATGATAAATACGCTGTCATTATTGTGGATTAAGATTTAGGGAAAGCACAGATTACATTTCTTCTGTTTTCCTCCTCTTTATTTCTAAAAGTTTATTAAAAAGTTTCTTTTGGGTTAGGTGCTGTGGTTCATGCCTGTAATCTGGGTGCTTTGGGAGGCCAAGGCAGGAGGATCATTTGAGGCCAGGAGTTCAAGAGCAGCCTGGGCAACATAGCTAGACTCCTATTGTTACAAAAATAAAATTAAATAAAAAAATTAGCCAGGTTTGGTGGTGCATGCCTGTTGACCCAGCGACTTGGGAGGCAGAAGTGCGAGGATCACTTGAGCCCAGGAATTCAAGGCTTAGTAAGCTGTGATTGCACCACTGCACTCCAGCCTGGGTGACAGAGCAAGACCCTATCTCATGAAAAGAAAGCTTTTGTATAAATGTCATATTTGATATTTTGTTTGTTTCTTATTTTCATGTTGCTTTTTAATATAACAATATATGAAAGTAAATGTATTCGGTCTATACTTTCAAGAAGGTGATATATATTGTTTATATTATTTTTGTTTTTTAGTTTGTCAAATTTGCAAATATTGAAGAAGACACACCATCCTATCACAGACGTTATGACTTTTTTGTGTCTCGATTCAGTGCCATGTGTCATTCCTGTCATAGTGACCCAGAAGTACGAACAGAGTATGTATTATTTTACTTTATAATCTGGATCTGTAGTAAGTAATTTAGAGATGAATACTCTTTATATGTTACATAATGATTACCAGAGGAAACCAGAATATGGCTGAAATATGGCTTCCCATTGCTGTTAGAAGTTATAACTACTGACTGAAGTAGCAAAAGGAGAATGGTTTTCCAGATCACTAAAATACAGTCTTTATTGTAGCCTAGAATGTCCATCTTTACTATAGCCTAGAACGTCCGTTCATGCTCCACTGATCGTGTCATATCTATCATTTCTTCATGCTTTCACTCTAATCCAGCCACGTGAATCTCCTTGCCATTTCTTGAACACTTTGGTCACACTTCTCTTCAGGCCCTTTGGACACATTGATCTTTCTGCACAGAACAATTCCTTAGGTGCCCACATGGCTTGTTACCTCACTTTGTTCATATTTCTGCCCAAATGTCACCTTATCACCAAGCCCTCCCTAGCCACCCTTTATTAAATGTCAGCCCTCCCATTCCACCCCCAGTTTTCTTTTATCTTCTTATTGTATATTTTTTTGTCTGTTTCTTGCTCCTCTATGGAATGTAAATTCCAGGAGGGTGAGGACTTGGTTTTGAGAACTACTTGCTGTATTGGTAATACTTTGAATAGTGCCTGGTACATAGTAGGCTGTCAGTTAGTTGACTGAAAAATTAGATAATTTTTTTTGTGTGTGAAAAGTAGATAAATTGAATGAATATATACTATTGAATCATTATTTATCTGAGGTTGTCATGACAACTGTATTGGACGTTTTTAAACATTTCTTCTAGATGTGTCCTACTAAAAATCTGGAATCAAATACTTCATAAACTCAGTCTATAGGTTGGTAGAATGAGAAATACAGAAATGAGAAACTTTAAAATTAAGAATTAAAGTCAAAATGACTTCAGTAAATATAAAAAGTAATTTGAGCATTATTATCTGACACCTAAAAAACGAGAAATCAATCAGAATTTAGAGTTACTGTGGGCAGTTGATAATCAAGATATAGCATGCTTTATAATTTTTACTTTTCTTTTAAAATAAGGAATGTACAGAAATATAACTAGCTTTTAGTTAAAGTATGCAAGCTACAGTGCTGGTTTACATGAAATAAAAACGAGTATAAATGTCATTTTAACTTGGAGAAAGAAAGCTTAAAGGTGACTTAATAGTTAATTTCAGGTGTAAGATTTGTTTTTGTCTGTGATGCTGTTAGTATAATTTTTGCTCAGCAGAGTGTCGGCCATTTAAAGTCCTGCTATTATTCTTTTATTATGAAATATAAAGCTCAAAGATAAAAAAGAAAAAAAATACTGTAATTACTTTACAGTGATTAATTTTCTATTTGTTTCCATCACCAGGATAATTCTCTTTTCTTTCTCTAAAGGACATTTAAAAATTTTTTATGAGACTGTTCTCTGTCTTCAAAGGCTGATAATAAGTTTTTAATGGAGCAAAAAGATACAAAGATTAGCTAAAGAAAATGGCAATTTTTTTCAGGATTTTAACATTTTTGCTTCCTTTCAAAATATAGAAAAATGTAGTATGTTTTTCTAAGTATTTATCATCCCCAGTGAAATAATCTTGTCTTTTGAATATATTTTTACCTGTTTTTTTCATTACAGCTTCCAAAAAGAAATGTTGAAATGTTCTATATACAAATGAAAGAACTTACAGTACATTTTGCTAATTCTAGGTCTTTCCAATATTATATCATATTTGAAGATCCATAATGCCAGCATTTTATTTGGATTCCTGTACGACAAATGAGTAAACTATAATGCTATTTAATATAAAATACTTAGTTTATTTTTGCTTTACCTTAAATAAAAGCCCTTTGATTTTCTTTAAGTGTGTTTATATTCTGTTTTAAGTTCTAACTTAGATACATCATCAGTTCCTTTCATTTTTACCAAACTCTTATCAAATAGAACTCCAGGGGACATGGACAGTAGGAGATGCGGCTGATAAACATTTGGATTTTCTTAAAATGAAAGAAGAACTGGTTCTCGCTTGTAGAGTCATACATCACGGTTTTAATCTCTAACTCTAATTTTCTGAAGAAACTTCAGCCATGGTAGAAATTACCACCACCACCACCACCACCATCCTTCTCCTCCTCCTCCTCATCATCATCCTCATGATGGTTAGCAACAAACAGGAACTGCTAGCACTTACTGAGTGCTTACTATGTGCCAGTTATTGTTAACCACTTTACATGAGTTAACTCATTTAAACTGTTCAACATTTCTATAATGTAGATGTGACAGTTGTTCTATTTCAGTGATAGGGAAAATGTAAAATTCCTTTTGAGGGGGTCATGGCTAGAATGTGCTGATTAGGCTAGATGTTAGATCTGGATTAGATGAAGCTGTGTCGCTATCATAGCTATTGATAGTTACCGTGAACACTGCCCTTGAACCTTAAACAAGGACACCATTATCTGCTGCTGCTTCATTTAGGCTGCTGTCACACAAGGCATGATACAGGTTTCATCTTGTTTGTTCATGTGCTTCATGCCACCTTGTGCTTAACCTTCTCATCACCCAAGGTGTAGCAGCAGGTATGTAAAGCAGGAACCTTCTGTAAGAATGTTAGACTTGCTCACTGTGATAGCTGTATGAGAGTCTCTCAAGACTCATTTATGTTTTAAAGAGCAGCATGTATAGATATGGCTTTGAAATAGGCAAAGTTTACCTTTATGTCTTCCCGTTCATTTTTCTCACCTGTTCACTGTGATATTACTGCCACCTTCCATTCTCCATCTCCTACTTCTGGGTGCTTGCATTATTTTGTCATGGGTATGTAAAGCAATGTCACCTCCCTGCCTTCCAAAAACTGTAAAAACCTATTTACAGTTTTTGGAAGACAGTGCTAGGTAAACTGAATAAACCTCTAATTGGTGAGTATTTCAGATAGCATAAAGAAAGGAAGTAAATAACAATCATATTTGACTGTTTTGAGACTCATTGAGCCACCAAGTTAGCTCTGCTTGAGACTTCATTCTTTTGCAGTTTTTAGAAACTGTTTTCTGGTCACTTTTCTTCTCATTCTTGAACCTATAGATTTTTATTTTCTTTTGCTTTTTTAAAGAAGAGTGAGGAAGAGCTTGAGGAAGTTTGGTGCTATGATCTGGGATGGGAGGATAAGGCAGCATTCTCTCACCACTATATTGATACATTTTAAGTCACATCAGATTATTGTATGATTTTATATATATATATATATATAGCTGAGATTATCTGTGCTCCATTTCAATAGTTCTTGTTTGTAATACCTTTTTTTTTTTTTTTTTTTGAGACGGAGTTTCGCTCTTGTTACCCAGGCTGGAGTGCAATGGCGCGATCTCGGCTCACCACAACCTCCGCCTCCTGGGTTCAAGCAATTCTCCTGCCTCAGCCTCCTGAGTAGCTGGGATTACAGGCACGCGCCACCATGCCCAGCTAATATTTTGTATTTTTAGTAGAGACGGGGTTTCACCATGTTGACCAGGATGGTCTCGATCTCTCGACCTCGTGATCCGCCCGCCTCGGCCTCCCAAAGTGCTGGGATTACAGGCTTGAGCCACCGCGCCCGGCCTGTAATACCTTTTAAAAGAACCAGCTTAGTCTTCTATCTAGGTAGACTAAGGGAGTTGAAGGGCGTTAGGGAAGAACAGTGAGAAGTCTGAAGAAGCATGAAGGGTGTTCAGAACAGTGAAATCCTGTTTTTACTCAGCTCTTAAGACTTCTAGGTATGAAATGGAATATCGTTATCATTTTAAGAAAATGTATGCTGTTGATTATTTAGAATTGAAAAATTGGTATTTTTGTATTTTATAGTCCCTTTGATTTTTAAAATGCTGATTTTAAAAACACAATATTTAAAGGAAGCCTTTTTGGGGCATATCTCTATGTCTCTTAAATTTTTGAGGTTTTACTTTCTTAGACTTGTGTGTTAAGATATTTTACTGTTATATAACAGCATTTACTTGATATTCATTTTCTTAGCTAGGCAAACAGACTTGGTTAACTTACTTTTTTTGTGGCTCATTTTCTTCCTCTTTTTTTTTTTTTTTTTTTAAAAATAGGATACGAATTGCCGGAATTAGGGGAATTCAAGGTGTGGTTCGCAAAACAGTTAACGATGAACTTCGGGCCACCATTTGGGAACCTCAGCATATGGATAAGATTGTTCCATCTCTCCTGTTTAACATGCAAAAGATAGAAGAAGTTGACAGGTATTTAAAAAGATGTCAGTGTTGAAACTGTTACTTTTATATATATATGTATGTATGCTTGCCTAGGATAAGAATGTTTTGGCTTTAATACTCTGTAAACAGTAGTCTCATAAAGTTAAGTGAGTTTAAAAATATGTACCTTTATGAAAAAATTTTAGTCTGTAGTGATCACATTAGAGTTAGCAGACTATAGATTATTATTCATACAACTAAGCCTTCTTTTTCTTTTAACTAAAGTTTACAGTTTATTTGCCTCTTATTATTGAATACCCAGATTGCTGTTTTAATGAATACTACTTAAAGTTGCAAATGTAAGAAACAGAAATTATAGCTCTGCTTCTGTTAATGTAAAAGATCTAGCATACTTTTGCACAGGGAGTTAGAACTAACCAAAATAATAATGATATTATAATAATAGCTACCCACACTGTATTTTATTTTTTCAACAAAATGGTTAGACACTATTCATATTTGATTTGTCCTAAGATATTTTGGAATTGAATATTATTTTGGGATATATGCTTATTTTTTTCTTTCCTCCACAACATTCACTTGCACTTGGAATTCTGTACTTTATTCCACTTTTTCAAATACTAGAAGCATGCTTATCCCCCACATTTCTGTTGCCATAAACAGAGATAACAAGTTAATAAATTAACGAATAATAAAACATTCATTATATATAAAATTTAATATATTTAATATAAATTAATGAAGATTTCAGAAGCAGTATTCTTCAGTGGCATATTATCCTTTCCTGATTGTTGCAGTTTGAAAAGGAAAATTTGAATCAAATTTAAAAGTGATTCAATTCTATAGTTCTAGATTTAAATTTTATTTATAATTTTTGTGATTATATGTTTAATAGCAACATAAAAGTCTAGAAATGAGGTGTAATTGATAACTCTATGGTAGTGCTTGCACATTCATGTTAATTCACACTAATTACAGAAAGGATTCATGCTTAATTCCTTGTATGTGACTGTCTCCAGCTTTGGGAACCTTTCCTAAAGTGTGAAACTTGATGTATTTTATCATTATCTGTATTTTTCCTATTCTTGGCACTGTAACTGAGATGCAAGTTTCCTTATCTAAAATATTTACTATTTCAAGGATCACTAGCTAGAGGGAACCCATTTCCCATAACTGTGGCTCTTGAATCCAGGCTTAGCCTAAGTAAAATACAGGAAACACAGTTCACTGGTTGTCATTTCTTAAGAAATTATATTTTTTCATGATATAATCCCAGTGCCACACCTACATTTTTTAAAATTATTATTCATAAATTCATTAGCCTAAAATAATGTTTCAAGATGTGAGCAGAATATTATCTGCTGAAGACAGCTACATATACAGATATTCTAATTAGCTTTTAAATTTTATTTTTTATTTATAGGCTAGGTCATAGTTTTTCACTATATTCTGTTTTTGCCCATTTACAGTTAAATTAAGAATACCTAAAGATGGTCTCTGGGCACTGTGTTCTTACTAAGATTTTGCTATAAATACAGAAAAGTTGAATGAAAATGAATAGCAAGCTGCTGAGTATTTTACTTACATAAAAGACATTCTGTTAGAAAGAAGTTGCACAGCCAAGTTTATTTCTTCTATTTGAAAGAGCGTATGTTTCATTTTGGTGAATTCATTTGTTAAATTCATGAGATTATAATTAAGCTTTATATTTACTGTATGATAAAAAGCAAATGCCATTTTAACGTTTCTAAAAAGTAAAGTATATTCTGTTTATTAGAACTAATATTAAAATTCTTGTGTTCGTTTTTCTTTATTTTGCTTTCTTTTAGTCGCATAGGCCCTCCTTCTTCTCCTTCTGCAACTGACAAAGAAGAGAATCCTGCTGTGCTGGCTGAAAACTGCTTCAGAGAACTACTGGGACGAGCAACTTTTGGGAATATGAATAATGCTGTTAGACCAGTTTTTGCGTAAGTAGTTGGTGTTTTCCTGGTTATTTGTGACTTCGCTGTATTAATTTATTTAATTCTGTGTTAACTTATTTATAGAGGACAACTACTTTTTTACTTGTATGAGGAAGTTATTAATGGAACCAGTGTAACATTGTGGAAGCAGTACAGGACTGAGTCACAAATGATATGTTTGAATAGTGGTCAATACTTAAGTAGCTTTTTCCCTTTAAGTATGAAGTGTAATAATCTGCTTAATATCATGTACATTGTTTAACTTGAATATTTATTTACAGACCTTGAAATGCATATGTGCGGTGAAATATTTAAACAGTGTCCAAGTATGATGTATCTTGTTTTACTAACTTTCATGGTCAGTTTTTCCTGTTCCCAGGTTTCTATTTCTTGGCTTTTTGCCATGGCTGGGCTGCCTTAGATCACATTCACATATCTGAGTAAATAGTCTTTTACATGGTGATTAATCAGAGCAAGAATATTAAATATCTCATTGGTACTTACATGCTTTCCTCCAGGCAAAATACATTAATGAGCTTTTAGTTTCTCCACCTACACATTCTCTCTCAAGCCTTGTTATACCTTTGTGTTTCTAACTCAATCACTAGATGATAGATCTACCATATAATATTCGGTGTAATTTCTAGACATTTTTGCTAGTCTTTCTTTTGTTAAAATTCACCTTGTCCTTTTCTCCTTCTGACTGTAATAGTGACTTTATAGAATATGTACAATATTCTAAATGTAACATCCAGAATTCTTTTGTTGTTTGAAACGGAGTCTCGCTCTGCTGCCAGGTTGGAGTGCAGTGGCATCTCAGTCACTGCAACCTTCGACTCTCTGGTTCAAGCTATTCTCCTGCCTCAGCCTCCCAAGTTGCTGAGATTAAAGGCATGCACCACCATACCCAGCTAATTTTTATATTTTCAGAAGCAATAGGGTTTCACCATGTTGGCCAGGATGGTCTTGATTTCCTGACCTTGTGATCCACCTGCCTTGGCCTCCCAAAGTGCTGGAATTACAGGCGTGAGCCACCGCACCGGGCCCAGAATTCTTTATTTATTACAGGTGGATGTTCTTAGCCTAGGATTTCAAGTTCAGCCTCAGTTACAAAAATCTATAAATCACAAAATTATATTAAAAATTAAAGAATCATTAGATTTTCAGTCTTTGTTTCCGCCCACCTCAAAAATATTGAGATCTTTTTAAAGGCTTATGGAAATGCTACTAAAAATTAATCAGGATTACGTTAAATATACTAAGGGCAGATTTATTTTTTTAATATCACACATCCTGACAACGTCAGAATACCTTTTTTTATCTTAATAATCTTATTGAGAACTAATCTATAAGGCCTTAAAAATCTAGAGAGCTAGTTTGGAGAAAAAAATTACCAAATAAGCTGTACTTGAATAACTCAAACTGAGTTATATTCTTTTCTATATAGAACTTAAAAATTCTGATCATGTATTAATTAAATTAATCTTAAGTAAATATGTGATTATATACTAGCCATTTAGTTAATTAAATATTAAATGCCCTCTGTAAGCGAGGTGCTTACTTATATCTTAAAATAGATGCTATTACTTGTCAAGTGTTGGCTGCACCCTGTGACTATGCTAATAACCTTATATGCTTTATCTTACTTAATCCTTTTACCGTATGAAGTGGATGTCGTTACTGTCCCCATTTTCCAGGTCAGACTTCTGACCCTTAGAGAAGTCAAGTAACTCACTCATGGACAAGGACATATAGGTAGAAAGTGAAGTCAGAATTCAAATTTCGATCATTTTATTCCTGAACTCATGGTCTAAATTAACCGTTAAGGTTGATAATATATGCCTAGCATAAAATATATTTTCAACAAATGATAGTTATAATAAAGCTGGTTTTGATATGGAAGGATAGTTTTTAAACTTTAATTCTGATACGGTAAGTGAGAAGTAATCTGGCAATCTGTGGATATAGTCTAAAGTTGTTTTCCTGGTGTTTTCCAGCCTTGTATTTGTCCATTATTTACCCTCTTTCATTCATATTTACTTGTTAGATAAAATTTCTCATTGTGAGAAATAAATTAATAAATTGCAACATTGAAAAAACCTGGGAATCAGTAAATATTTATTGATTAAATGTTCACGAAACTACTACTGGTCCACAGCATTGCTTTAGAAATAGCTTTAATTGCAACATATGTTTCATGAAGTTCATTAATTTAGAATTAAATTGAAATCTTGCTTTTCTTTTAGGTAGTATTCTCACTTTAAGCTTTTCCTATTGTTGAGGTTTTAGAGGAAGAAAGTATAATAAAATAGAGAATTTTAAAGTAATTTTTTGTTGTTATTTGCAGGCATTTAGATCATCACAAACTGTGGGATCCCAATGAATTTGCAGTTCACTGCTTTAAAATTATAATGTATTCCATTCAGGTAAGGTTTGATTATTTACTGTATTTATATAAGTAATTTTGGTTCTTTATAGATAAGCACATTATCTAACAGATTTGGAGAGCTATAGGATGGAAATCATTACTCTTAATTTAGCTCTTTTGTCTCATTAATTTTCTTTTGCTACTTATTTTCTTATTTGCCAAAATGAAAAATAGATCTAATCAAAAGAACTGAATAATTTCATCATGGTTCCCTTTAGCACCAAGACCAACACAGACAAACTTCTTGACAGTCAGGTCCTGCTACCCCTGGATTCATTGAGGGTGTTGTCTTTTAGGGGTTCCGAATTGACACAGGGATTTCTGATCTGATAGCCTACCTTTCCTGTCTGGGCCCTAAGCTTTGTATCTAGTCTCCATGTATACAACTGTCTAAATGAGTAGCTCTGGGCACTGGAGAGCTGAAGATTTGCCTGGAACTGCTGCTGACCTCAGTGTGTACTCACCTTTCCAGATGCTTGCCTTTTTGTGGAGTTTGAACTAAGGAACTTTCCTTTCCTGCCACTTTATCTGGATATCAGAAAGTCTTATATATAGCTGACCTTCGAATAACACGAGTTTCAACTGTGCAAGTTCACTTATAGTGTAGATTTTTTTTTTTTTTCAACAAAATGGAGATAAAAAATCTATTATTTGTAGAATTCAAAACCCCAAGTATGGGGAGCTGATTTTTTCTGTGCAGGGCCAACTGCAGAGATGGATTTCTGGTCTTGTTTTTGGTACCATTGACTTGAGTATGTGCGATTTTGGTATGGAGTGGGGCTGAAGCCCATCCCCAAGTATATCAAGGGAAAGTGTTAGTCTAGTATTTTACTGTTGTTTTATGACAGGGCTTGGCAATTTGGAAAAACATGTGTAATATTTCTGGAAATGGTGGTATATACCAGAATAGGAATTTCTGTTTAATACTGTCATTATACAATTAAAACTTTGGATAGTTTTGATTGTTTTAATTGCTATTTGCATAAAAGTGGTATAAAGTACTTAGAAGAGTGCCTGCTTCTGGTCACTTCTGAATGAAATGCTCTTTTGTTATTATTGTTAATGTTCAATGTTATAGTCATATATTAGCTCAGGAGTCACCAATTGAAAAGTAGTAATAATAACTAATGCATACTGAGCATTTTTCATACAATAGACACAATTTGGATGCTTTATACAAATTAACTCCTTTAATTGCCCCAAGAATCCTATGAATAATTTTTATTATTTAAATATTATAGATGAGGGAAACTGAGTTACAGGGAGATTAAATAATTTCTCTCTTAATCTGAGAGCTATTTAGCTATTAAATCCTAGGGCCAGAATTCGAACTTGGGCTAATTTGACTACAGGGTTTATGTATTTAATCACCACTGTATTATGTTGCTTCTTAAAAGTGATACATCTGTTAACATTGCCTTAAATATCAGTGTAAGGGCAAATTTTACCGTAAGTAAATGCAACCTTAGTACATGTGACTTCAACATACTGTGTAACATCTTCTCACTTCCCTTCCTTTCACTCCATATTCTTGTAACACATGATATCGTTATTGAGTTGTTCTTCATAAGTAGAATGAACACATACCCTGGTTTGCGTAGTATAGTCATACTTTGTGTGTAATTATTAACAATACTTCCTTCACTCTCTGTGGTGTCCTCATTTGGACAGTAAATCAAATGGGTACCTTTCCTATAAAGGCAAGACTAATAATTGCACAAGTTCACATACCAGAAGCATGCAGCTTCCTGAGCAAGAAGTTCAGTTTCAGATTGTGTGTATGTGTGTCTTCCTGCCTAACATTCATCTATTTTACCATAGCTTTGAATGAAACAATGTAAAGATGAAAACACAAACTCAGTTTTTTTTTTGGGTGGTTTTAAAAGTAGATGTGTGTTATGACAAAAATTTGAGAAATACCTAGAGATGAAATCTGTGTCTTGATAGAGAAGAAGGGGAATTTTTGCTTTTCAGCAGTGTAGCCATTACGTGTAGGGCACTCCTTTCTTATCAAACCACACATTCCAAAGGAAAGAAAGGTAACCTGCCTGAAAACAGGGCAGAGTGGGCCTGTCTGAAGACAAGTACGGACAGGGAGATTCAGAGCCACAGATGCTTTTGACAACTTCGTGCAGGATAGTAGACCAATTGTGACTCATGGGCATTTAAGTGTAGGTTTAAAAAACAAGCAAGCAAAAAAATACCTTGCCACTCTTCAAAAAAAAACCATATTCACTGGAGTTAAAAATAAACATTTTTCTGGCTATGCTTTTTCTGTTTTAGGCCCTAACATTCACTATAGTTGATGAAATTTGTTTATATGTGATAAAATTGCCTTTGTTACTTACACATCTTTTGATATCTCCATGATTTAAATTTTATCAGGTACACATTGATAATATTTTCATTTCTTGATTAGATGGGTGTTTTGACTGTTTAGCATTGTTAGGTGTCCATATTAAATCGTATTTAGCTTGGGTAAGGGAAAAGTACTGTGAATGTCATAATTTATGTTTTTTACAAACTTTCGATCTGTTATAAAATTAAAAGTATATAAATGACCTTTGTGAAACTACAGAAAAATGTAAAGGTAATAAATATTTTTTATAAATTGCTTTCTCAGAGGTGGCCAATGTTAATCTTTGTATATATAATTCTAATTTACTTTTTAAAAATTAGTTTGAATTTTTTTAAACAAAGTATTATACAATATGCTTCTTTTCACTCAGAGTATCATAAATATTTTCCAGCATCTCTGTTTATTCTTCAAAAGAATGACTTTGTATTGTGGCTATATATTGTATCATAACATGACTGCCATTCCCTAGTTGGACATTTATGTGTCAGGTGTTTTTCTTTTAGTTCTTATGAATTCTGCAAAGGTGCATGTGCTTGTTCATACATCTTTGTACTGTTTTGTCTCCTTTAGGCCCAGTATTCTCACCATGTGATTCAAGAGATTCTAGGACACCTTGATGCTTGTAAAAAAGATGCTCCCCGGGTTCGGGCAGGTATTATTCAGGTTCTGTTAGAGGCTGTCGCCATTGCTGCTAAAGGTTCCATAGGTGAGTGCCAATAAATAAAATAAAATAGTACATTAATCTAGTTCAACGTATTCTTTCAGTAGTTATAACAGTGTATGAAGAACTCTTTAAGAATATTTCTACACAATTTTAGGTGTACTATAAGTTTTTCTTGAAATTTGGGTTCATGCAGTTATTTTCAGGCTTTTTTAGTGCACAGTTAAGTATTTTCCTCCACGTCAATTCCTCCTCCCTTTCTTCTTCTAATAAAGGTTTTTGAGTATGGATTACATACTGAACATTGGGGGAATGCAGATAAAGAAACTCATGGTGTACTTATGGTTAGACAGCTCCACCTAATACTGTAATATGTGACCGGCTTTGATAACATAGCTTAAAAAAGCCAGGGTTTAGAGAAGGGAGGGAAAATGGATTAGCACTAGCAAAATTTATGCGGCCCATTTTGGGTAGAATGTATGGTGCTAGTTTAGAAGTCAGAGAGGTAGCTTTAAAATTAGGTCATAACCAAATTGTGGACATAGTTCTTTAGCTGATTAATAGTCCTTAAAGATTTACTCTAATCTTCATGAGAAATGTGCTATAGGATAATTTTTCTGGCAGCAAAATAGGGCACATTAGAAATAACAAGTTCCTGCCATTGTTGTGTACATGAGGGAAAGAACTTGCCCTTACATGGGAGCAGTAGGAATGACAATGTCAAATTGACAGGATTTGATCATGGGGTAATGATAAGAGGGGGTAGTTCAAAAATTAGGATATTTTACCTACGTGTAACTACGAAAATGGAATAGTCCATATTAGAAGTGCAGAAGTTTGAAGGAAAATCTGGTTATGGTTTCTTTGCTTGAAAATCAAAGTAGAAATATATTATCTAATAAAATAGTCATCCCTCAGTATCTGCAGGGGATTGGTTTGAGGACCCCTGAGAATACCGAACTCTGGGTGCTAAAGTCCCATATATAAAATGGTATAGTGTTTGCATATAACCAATGCACACCCTCCCATATACTTCACATCATCTTTAGATTACTTAATATACTTAATGCAGTGTAAATGCTATGTGAATAGTTGTTACACTGTATTGCTTTTTTATTTGTGTTTTTTTTTATCCTGTGTTCCCCCCTCCCCCTTGAATATTTTCAACCCATAGTTAGTTGAACCTGTGAATCCAGAATTGCAGATATGGAGGACCAACTGTATTGTTTTGTTCATTTATTGTCAAATAAAGGTGGGTATTTTGGATATGAATTTTCGATTTTGTCTTGTAACTTATCTCAAGGAGATAAAACAGGTTATTTAATTGGAAAGTGATTTAATTGGAAACGAAATGAAACAATATGATACATTGAATCGTCACATTGATTAATGTCTACTAACACTACTAAGTGTGTTAGGTACTATGTGCTAGGCTCTATATATTTGAAGAGGCATTTAAACATGACTACCTTTTCTAAAGAAACTTGAATCAAGAGTAAAAGGCAGAAATGAAACCCACTAATTAAAATAAGGTAAACGGAAGCAGTGAGAGAAACACATGCAGAAAATTTATAGAACAAAATGCAGAAAACAAATGCACAGTTAACCTGAATCTAATAAATTCAGTAGTTTGTCTCATAATTGAAGCATATTCTTCCTTCTTCAGTCTCAAAAGATGCAAAATAAATATTTGATGCTTCTGTGAGCTATATTATATGATTTTGTGGATTCGTACCCACAATTAAGTTAAATATTGGCCTAGTGCACATTATTGTGAACAGATAAGATTAAATAGGCAGAAAGTTTTTGGTAATTCTTACATGCATGTACACATTTTGTAAGGGTGGAATCAGAGATTCAAATAGCAAGTTGCTCATAAATGCCCAGTAAAATTTGTTGGTATAATGAAGGGGCTTTCTTAATTATTTCTCATTTACTCTTTTTTTAAAAAAAAAAATGAAATAGTTTATAAATTATGGACTTTTGACTACTTAGAAAATTACAAAAAGAAATCTGTGGAGAAATAAGATAACATGACTTTGGATATGCAATACTAGAAACATGTATCTTCTCACATAAGTGATCCTTCATAGGTCCAACAGTGCTGGAAGTCTTCAATACCCTTTTGAAGCATCTGCGTCTCAGTGTTGAATTTGAAGCAGATGATTTACAGGGGGGATCTGTAGGCAGTGCCAACTTAAACACAAGTTCCAAAGACAATGATGAGAAGATTGTGCAGAACGCTATCATCCAAACAATAGGTGAGTGCAATTTCACTTTTCAAAACTGTCATGTAAAGCAGTGATTTAGAAAGCTCTCACATAAGGTCCTGGACTATTACATTTGTCAAAGATGAATCATAGCTTAAACTTCTGAAAACTATTTTCTGAAAATAAGTAACCATGAGAATATAAGAACACTATGTTGTCCCATTAAATCTGCAGGACACAATTTCATCTATTGTTAACATTTTATGCCATTTACTTTTTCATTTGCTTTTACTCTCTTTCTTGCGTCTCTTTCTCCCTTCTTTCTCTTCCTGTTCCTTTCTCTGTGTGTGTATGTCTTTGTGTGTGTATGTATATGTAAGAATACACACATACACAAGTTTTTTTAATAAACCACAAGATACAGAAAGTTGCACACATCATGGCCTCTTACCACTAAATACTTCAATGTATTTTTCCAAAGAATAAATGTATTTTTTAATATAACCCAAGTAAAATTGTCAACATCACTAAATGTAATATTGATCCAGTACTTGAATCAACCTTTTATATTTCAGTTTTATCAGGTGACCCAGTAATGTCCTATATTGACTTTTTTCCTTGGGTCCAAGATTCAGTCTTGAATCACATATTGCGTTTAGTTGTAATATTTCGTTAGGTCCATTAGTGAGGAATGTTTCCATTATGACATGGACATTTCTTATGAGTAAAGTCCCCCTCCCACTTTTTTTTAAAATAGAAAGTTCCTTATTTGGTTTTGTTTGGTGTTTCCGTATGATTAAATTCAAGTTAAATATTCCTGGCCAGAATAGTACATATGTGATATGTTCTTCTGAGATTAGCACATTCAGAGGTAAACACTGTAACTTATCCTTCAAGTATAGGCAACATTATACTTAGTTAGTGACTGTAGTTAGATGCTGCGGTAAAGAGAAGTGCGGACTACTTTATGTCCTTGTGGTAATAACTAATTTGTTTGGGACAGAAAGTCAGTGTCCAGTTTTGTACAAGATTAGGAATGTATCTAGTTGGGTGCTTGAAAAGCTAAAATAAAGTAGCCTGTATGGAAGAAGTATGGAATAATAATAGCATAGACTGGAAATAACCCTTACCTCAAGCCCTCATGTTAACTCTCTAATTTTTGGTAAGAGTTCTTCTCTAATGTCATTTCTACAAGAGGAAACTGAGACAAAAAATAGAACCTAGACTCGTAAGGTTGTTTTGAGGATCCAAATACAAAGTAGTTTCTTATTCCATAAATATGTATTTGGCAAGTGTTAACTAGAATAATGTACTTTATGGAGATGGAGTCATGTTAAAGTTAGAGGTTTTTGACTGCTAAAGTACATGATTGTTGGAAATGACTTTTACCCCTAGGTCCAATCGAAATAATAACTAGAACAGTTTGAATTTGTATAAACAGATCATTAGCTCCAGTAATAGAAGCTGAACAGTTACATTGAAAAGTGAGCTTATTCTTAAAAAATAGTAAAAATGCAGAAAGTTTCTGTAATGACTGCACTGAATTTTAAGAAACGAACGTAACAGTCATGATTTGATAGTGTGTTCCAATCCTTCTAAGAAATAAACGACTTTTAAAGCATGAGTAAATGATAATTAAATTTTATAAATCTTTTGTGACCAGGAAGTAAGTATCAAAAGCTACAGCAGATAAATTTAAAATATTCTCAGAAACTAGACTGGATAAGAAAAATGACAAGTTATTTACTTATTTTTTACATCAGTTGAATTATGTATGTTGAATTCACAGGGGTAATCTATAAACTTGGCTTACTATAATGACACTCAAATATTTGAGCAATCCTGGAAAACCAGAGTAGTGACCTAATTATTGACTTCTTTACCAGACAATGTGTAGCTAAAGTACTGGAACAATAATTTAGACACAATGTATGAACTAGAGTTTCATCAGAAATACTACCAAAGTATTTTTCCTTTTTTAAAACTCCATTCAACTCAAGTCAGTGCTGATTTGTCACTGTTATAACTATGTAAAAAAGACTTTGATATATTTATTATTTTATCTATCAGTCCATTATACTACACAGCTTATATGGTACATAACTAAATGATTTTGGACACATGAAACTGTAATATCCTTTAATGTTACATGTAGCTTAAAGACTTGTCAGTGATTGTTTTACCACATCTTGAAAACTTTGGCTAAAAATAATTTTGTATTATATGGAAAAGTAGACTTTTTCAGTTTCTAAAATTTATCCTAATACTCTCATAGGATTTTTTGGAAGTAACCTGCCAGATTATCAGAGGTCAGAAATCATGATGTTCATTATGGGGAAAGTACCTGTTTTTGGAACATCTACCCATACTTTGGATATCAGTCAACTAGGGTATGTTCTCAGACTGCAAATTTGAACTTAATCTTGGGTTACATTTTATCCTAAAGAAAATCAGAAAATGTTAAAGGTTTGTTTTTTTAAATCAGTAATAAAATTCCTATGGAAAGCAGTTAGAAGTATTATGACAGTAGATTGCTAAGCAATTGAATCAGCATTTTTATGCCTTTAGAATTATTTTCACCTTATAAATTCTCATATTTTCCATCTTTAAAAATTGTATTTGTTTGGCCTGGACATGGTGTGTGTGCGTACATATTTAGGGTGAAGCTTCAAGTTTTCTGTATAAATTTTAAAAATTAATATGTCAGAAATATTGGCTTATTCCTAGAATTTTAGACCTGAAAGTGATAAAGATTATGTGCTGTGACCCCCGTATTTTATACATTTAATTTGATTTTATAACATGCTAAAGTTTTTGTTTGTGAATGTTTTAATTTTGTTAATTTAATAAGAAAGTAATAGTATCTTATTCAACTTAATTTCTTTGACCATTTATTTTTTTAAATTGTTCTTTCCTGTTTATTCATATTTGTTAAAGACAGATACTCATCAATTATGTTTATAGTAATTTCTCTCATTTAAGGTGTCTTAATTTGGGTTGTTCAGTTGTCTGTGTATGTGATTTAATTTTCTTGTCATCACACACATAGGACTATTTGAGAGCCAATAACACATTTTTTTGTTGATATATTTGATTGTTTTAATTCACATGAAATTTACTTTGACATGTAAAATGAGCTGTGACTTAAATTGTTATAAAAAATGAAGTCTACTTAGCCAGTAAGAATAGAATTTTAAAATCCAGTAATTGAAGTAAATGAAGTAATATAAATGCTGATTAGTATAATAATCCCAGCCTTTTGTATATTTTAGGGATTTGGGAACCAGGAGGATTCAGATAATGTTGTTGAGATCTTTGCTTATGGTAAGGCATTTAAGACAAATAAAGGAAATACTTAACCTTAAATTACTGAAAAGATTAATTGAATAGCTTCACGTTACAAGCTTTCTTTTCTTAATTAAGTTACTGTTATGGTTAATATTTTATTATGTTCTTCATTTTAAAAATTTAGCCTATATTAGGCCGGGCGCGGTGGCTCAAGCCTGTAATCCCAGCACTTTGGGAGGCCGAGGCGGGTGGATCACGAGGTCAAAAGATCGAGACCCTCCTGATCAACATGGTGAAACCCCGTCTCTACTAAAAATACAAAAAATTAGCTGGGCATGGTGGCGCATGCCTGTAATCCCAGCTACTCAGGAGGCTGAGACAGGAGAATTGCCTGAACCCAGGAGGCAGAGGTTGCGGTGAGCTGAGATCGCGCCATTGCACTCCAGCCTGGGTAACAAGAGCGAAACTCCGTCTCAAAAAAAAAAAAAAAAAAATTTAGCCTATATTTTTTACTGATTATTCCTCATTTTTCCTGCCATTTTGTTTGATCTTCATAATGATGAAACATAGAAAGGGCAGAAACTATTGCTGTCTTATAGATGAAAATACCTGGGCTCAGAGACTATGAGTGGAAGGAGTTGGTGAGGTCCACCAAGGTCGCTGGGTGAAAAAATAGAACTCAGACTTGAAATCCAAAGTTCTTTCAACATATGCTATTTCTTTCTCATACTTACCAAATAATCACTTCTGATTGGAAAAATAATTTATTAAAATTAATAGTTGCAATTTAAAATTTGAAGTGGCTATAAATAGCTGAAAAGGAAAGGTACACCCAGAATGAAAGGTGCTCTGGTATTTTCTAGTAATTGTACTCATATTTGATTCAAGTGCTCCTCGCATGTATGTGTCCTTTTCAAATCGATATCTTTCAGATTTATCCTAGAAATGTTTACGTGATCTCATTTTTTTAAATGGACTATCTCAGACCTAAGTGCAGAAATACCTTGTATGGTTTTATTTTTAATTCTGTTTAATTCTGTTTATGGTGCTTGTCATATAGAAGTTTTGAATTCTAACATGGCCAAATTTATGAGCTTTTTTTCTATGTCTTCTTTACTTTTTCATTTGTATCTTACATAAGAACTCTATGCCTCCTCTGATGATATAAACACATTTGTTTATGTTTTCTTACAGCAGTTTTAAAATTTTAGCCCTCTATATTTAGAATTTTAATCTGAAGTTTATGTTTATATGTGGTACGAGGCATAGATTTTCCTGAATGAGTAGACAGTTGTCCCACCAGCTTCCCAGCTGACTTATAAAACTACCTGCATCCTATAATAAATGCCCAAATATGAATGTTAACTATTTCATGTATATTTATAATCCTGGAAATATGTTGAAATCTTCCACCTGTAATTTAATTTTATCCTAAGCCTTTATTTATATTAAACAAATTCTCTAAATAAATTATTTTGTGTCACCATCCTGATTATACCACATAGTCAACTGAATGAATATCTATATGGTATGCTTAAAAGGTTTAATAGCATTTAAGTATATTCTCTTTAAAAGTTTTAAATTTAGAAGATATTGATATACTTGTAAATGTCAAATCAAGTAACTAAGTACAGCTTTCCAAAATGAAAATGTGTTCCTATTAACTACCTGCTTAATTTAACATGAAAAAATAATTTACAAACTTAAAATTTGCAGGACTTACTTTTAGTTTGCTACTTAAGTTCCTTATATCTGTTTTGTACTAACCTTAACCTCTCTGAGCCTCAGTTTCTCCTTATACATGGAGATTCACTGGTATCTACCTTACAGAGGTATGGTGAGGACAAAGTTTTTTTTATTTTTATTTTTATTTTTATTTTTATTTTTTTTGAGACGGAGTTTCGCTCTTGTTACCCAGGCTGGAGTGCAATGGCGCGATCTCGGCTCACCGCAACCTCCGCCTCCTGGGTTCAAGCAATTCTCCTGCCTCAGCCTCCTGAGTAGCTGGGATTACAGGCACGTGCCACCATGCCCAGCTAATTTTTTGTATCTTTAGTAGAGACGGGGTTTCACCATGTTGACCAGGATGGTCTCGATCTCTCGACCTCGTGATCCACCCGTCTCGGCCTCCCAAAGTGCTGGGATTACAGGCTTGAGCCACCGCGCCCGGCGTCGAGGACAAAGTTAATACATATGCAGTGCTTATAATCATGCCTAGCACATGGTAAATGTATGCTACTATTAACTTTATTCTCCTTATGAATGATGTTTTTGTAAATTCAGTATAATCCTTCATTACTTTGCACATTTCCTTTATGTCCTTTTTTCAGGCTTCTGTCCATACTTTCTTTCCTAAGTTTATGGTTCTTATAAAGCAATATGAGAATTTTACAAAAAAAAAAAGGACTTATGACAAAAGTTTATTTTCTTCCCAATAATCAGGTAACCTCTGGATACAAAGCAAAGACGATTGTTACTGCACTGCCGGGGTCTTTCCTGGATCCTTTGTTATCACCATCTCTCATGGAAGACTATGAACTGAGACAGCTGGTCTTAGAAGTAATGCATAATCTCATAGATCGCCATGATAATAGGGCAAAGCTTCGAGGTATCAGGTAATATGCCATTTTATAATGGCTCTAATAATAGTGTTTTTATATTGGTAAATTTGTATATTTAAGTATTGTGATTTTAACAAATCTAGCATGTTTAGGTTTTATTAACCCAGAGTTTTATTTAATTGGTATTGAGATAATAATAATATATATTAAGATAGCAAATGTTTGGAGGTCATATATGTACTCTTCAGAAGCAATCATTACGTACAGGCTTATCAAACTCCTAATTATAAATATAGTTTTCCATGTAAGATGTGATACTGTAAATAAATGTGCTGTTCATTAAAAATGATATGTTGGTTGTCGCTAGAATAATACCAGATGTAGCTGACCTAAAGATAAAAAGAGAAAAAATCTGCAGACAAGACACAAGTTTCATGAAAAAGGTAGGACATCTTCTAACATACATAAATAAATGCCTAGTGTAAATTACAGCCATTTGAATTGTTAGGTGGTTTTATATTGATCTGTAACCTTGAAATGAAGCCATATAATTTTGAATTTGAAAGACCTCAAGATGCCGTCCTCAGCCTCTCTCAAGTATAACATTCCTGGCACTGTCTCCTCCAGCCTGTGTTTAAACATTGTATTGTTGGGCTACTGTAGTAGTTCTAAATTTCTTCTCTGAGTAAAATGTCTTCCTGTAATTCTTGCCTTGGCAATCCTCTCCCACCAAAACACACATACTGATTTCTCTTTTAGTGGCTCTTTTATAGACAGCTTCAAGTTTCTGAAAATAGCTATCACTATCACATCAATTAACTATGCTGAATATTTACTGTGTATTAGCCATTGGTTCTACACTGTTTGGGATGTAAAGATGAGTTGGGTAGGATCTCTGCCCCTGATAGTGGTTCTAGCTGGATTTTCATGATGATAATTTAAATTCTGTAGGTCTACTGGAAATGGCTGAATTCAGAAAATTATATTTATGGTTATTTGCATATTGAGTAAACTTTTCTGTGCAGTTATTATTAGTCCAAAGCATGGGAACGTAGTATTTGCCAGACACTGAGTCAACATTGGAAGATACAATAACCATGACACTACCAACTGCCCTAATAGGGAATATAGTATTGCGGGCTAAGGGAGTCTGTTTTTAGAGGTGCAAGGAACAGGAAACAGAGCCCCATAGGAAACTAGGTGCAGAGACCTGTAATCTGTGTTCTTTTTTGCCTTTTTACTAGACCAGGTTTTTCTCCCTGTTGCCATCTTTAATGTTGCTGTCTCTACCATTGCTATCGATTCAAGTTAACTCCATTTTAAAACTTCATTTGAAAAATAATTTACAAAATATCACTCTTCCTAAATTAATGTGATTCCTTGAATAAAATAATTATTTAAGTTAGGCTACACTGTATATCAAAAAACTGGTTAATAAATAGAACAGATACATTTCTTTGTCTCAATTTTTTTTTCTTTATATCACCTTATTAATGAAAGAAATTATTCTACATAACTGAGGATCTTTAAACAAATTTTAAAAATATTTTTAATTGATAAATTATAATTACATTTATGGGATCCAGTGTGATCTTTTGATTATACGTATACAATGTAGAAAATTTAAGTTGATCTAATTAACATATCCATCTTCTTGCTCACCTATCTTTTTTTATGGTGACATATTTGAAATGTGTCTCAGTTATTTTGAAATACACAATACACTAATATTGACTATAGTCACCCTGCTGTGCAATAAATTGATCTCAGAACTTAACAACTCCTCCTGTCTGTCTGAAACCTTGTAACCTATGATAAACAATCTCTTCATTCCCTCCTCTTTGCCCTTAGTCCCCACCTCTTGTTAACCACCATTCTCTACTTCTATGAGTTCAACTTTTTTAGATTTCACCTGTAAGTGAGATTATGCGGTATTTCTTTCTGTGACTGACTTGTTTGACTTAGCATAACATCTTCCAGGTTCATCCATATTGTCGCAAATGAAAGAATTTTCTTCTAGTGAAAGGCTGAATAGTATTCCATTGTATATATTTATATGCCACATTTTCTTCATCCATTCATCTGTTGATGGACACTTAGGCTGATTCCATACTGAGGAATTTGTAATCATTACTAATATAATGAATTTTGAAAACTCAATTGATTACTGATTTTTGAGTTTTTGACTATATGCAATTAAACAGTCATGAACATTCAGACTGGATTTCATTTTATCCATTATGAGTTATAGAAATAATACTTTTGTGGTTAATTTTGCTAGTCAACCGATTTGAAAGGCTGTAATTTAGTGGCAAGATTAGACTGTTATTTCATGTTACATTTTTGAATACTTAAACTGTTCTCTGAATTAGTTATCTCTGTTTTATAATTTAAAATAACTTTCCTAGCTAAGCATTTGTTATCATTAACGTAAACCATTCCTTTTTGGGTCTTTCTCTTTAGAAGCAATGTGTTCACATTTTTTTCCTTTGTCAGAATTTTATTTTTATAGCTTGACCCTATTTTTCATTTACCTTCCAATTTGTTTTATCAGTAAAAATGTTTGATTTTCATATGAAACCTTAACTAGCAACTCAGGGAGGTTTCTGCAAAGACCTAAAGAAAAAAAAATTGGGTTCTGTAGCCACAGGTTGATGGATTGCCCTTTAGTTAAGAGAATCCTAGTTTAGCGTAGACAGTGTATGTTCAATGTTAACATTGTGTGTTCAGGCAACTGTGTCTTAGATTACTACCCAGCCTAAAACTGCTCCATCTGAATTTTGTAGGGACATCTTATATATGAAGTCTGTTTGAAAAACAGATCCAAGTGCTGGAATATTGGGAGGTATCACTTCACCTGTAATTTCCTCGTGAAGCGTATTCTTCAGAGATAACAGTTGCCACCACTGAATCTACAATTCAGTTTATAGTTTTTCTCCATGTGAAAGAGCTCTTGTTAATGTTTCACCAAATCAAGGAATTATGTAGAAAAAAGTATTTTATTATGAAATATATGAGAATTATTACTTTAATTCTTTTAAGGTGAACAACAGTATAACCAAAAGCGTCCCACCTGTTCTGTCTTATTCATAACTCCATCCTCTGCCCTACAAGTAATCACTATCACTGGTCTGACTTTGATGGAAATGGACTCTTACAGACTTTTTTTTTTTTTTTAACAGTTTTATAACCTAGATATACCTTAAATCCGTAAACTATACTATATTGTTTAGTTTTGCCAGTTTTTGTAATTTGGGTGACAGGAACCGTACATTGTGTATTCTTTGATGTTTAGTTTTTTTAAATTCAGCTCTGTTTTGGTAAAACTCATCCGTGTGTGGCTTTATTAGTATTCCATTATCTGAATATGCCACAGGTTTTGTTTTGTTGGCAGACATTTGAATCATTTCCAGTTACTGAGTGTTATGAATAGTGCTACTGTAAACATGCTTTTACATGTGTTGAGCTGTGTATAACTCCCATTTCTCCAAGGCCTGTAAGAGAGGAATTGCTGAGTAATAGGTTATATATTCTTCAGATTCATTAGATAATGCCATACCAATTTGTAAAGTCATTTGTATTTTTACATTATATATTACATTGGAGATTTTCTATTTTATCTAATATGGTGGATATGTAGTAGGTACTTTTTAAAAACAAACTTGAATTACTTAACCTGAAGTCTAAATTCTCACATATGGATGCACCACTTTAATGTTTGTTAATGTTTAGGAACCATAGAATTCAGGAATATTCTTAGGTTTTGAAAGGACTGAATACATGAAGTTTTTTTTTCCCCACGCAAGTATAGAAACCATATTTGTGTGTGTGAGAGCGGGAGAGACAAACTCTAGATTCAGAAAGGTGGAAGCCAAAATAACAACTTCAGAAATAAAGGAATCTGGTGGGTAGCTTTTTATCTGTAGCCAAAAAAAAGCTTACTAACACTATACCACAGATTTAAACAGACTTACACAGTCACTGTCACAGCTGGAGAACTACACATCAGATAGAGAACAAAGCAGAATACATACTTGTTACAGACAGACTGGCTTCAGAAGAGTCTGTGCTCTTCTTGTCCAGTTTCTTCTCCTAAAATGATCAGAAGAACCTTCTGAGATATAGGCATGGAATATTAAGCCTAAAGTCTCTCAACATGGGAAAAATGAGTGTTCTTAACCCTGGCTGCATATTATAACCAAATGGGGAGCTTTATGCTTGAACAATACTGATGCTTGTGCTTTGCCACTGACCAGTTACATCATATTAGAGGAGGGTGGACAGTGTGAGAAGTGGGGAGGGCAAGAGCATGGTGATCATTCCAGTTGTCCAGTGATTCCAGCGGACAGTTACAATTGAGAGCTAATTGAGTTAATGTCACCACTTTGACTGGAAATGGCATTTCACCTATCTAGGAAGGGCTTTAATAATCTTTTTTAACATACTCAGATTAGTCTAGTTTAGGGGGAAACCTCTATGCAATACCAGGGGAATTTCTGTTAATAGGCTTTAGACTCACCTTCAGAGACTCCATGCCAAAATATAACAGAACCTGCAGATGCTGTTCTCTGAACAGCTAACCCACAGCACAAGGATTGTTCCCCAGTCAGGAGAGCCTGGGTGCATTTCCTCTCAGCACAGTATTACTTGTCATTGCTGAGGCTGTATTGCTTAAGTATCTCCCAGGATTCTGCCATCCGTTTGACTTTTTTTCTCAAGTCAATCCATAATTTGCTTTTTTTTTTTAAATTACTGTTAAAAAACATTTTCATTGTTAGCACAGGAACTATTTTTTACTTGTTATTTTTATTTAAGGTTTGTCTTCAATTCTAACATTAGTTTATAGTTGTATATTAGCATATTGATTGATGTTAGTCATTGGAATTTGACCATCTGATCATCAACTTAAATTTCATTTCCATGTTAAGCTATATAATAATATAGCTCCATTGTAAAAGTGTATGCACGTGAACTCTGCCTTTTCTATATTTTAAGCAAAATTACCTTTTTCCTCTGTCCTTTCTCCTCAGAATGGGCAACAGCTATATCGTCACATATATTTGGGTTGTAAAGAGGAAGACAACGTTCAGAAAAACTATGAACTACTTTATACTTCTCTTGCTCTTATAACTATTGAACTTGCTAATGAAGAAGTAGTTATTGATCTCATTCGATTGGCCATTGCTTTACAGGTATGCTTTCATAACTAATCACTGCAGAAAAGTTTTTTGTAAAGCAGACACCATCTTTGAAGTGTTGTCTTTATCTAAGGACTTGAATTTTAAAAGGAAGATATCTACTTCTTAATCTAAAGTATACAACACTATGATCACATTCTTCATTGATTCTTTTTACATATGTTGAATGAGCATCAATTTGTATGCTAAATATCCTTCAAGGTCACAGGGTTACTGTGATGAAGAAGAAAAACCAGTTTCTGTACCCTCACTTCTTAGTGTGGAAGATAATCTTAGTATAGTGGGGAAGATAGTCATTAAATAAGAATTACATACAGGCAGTTGTTTAAATAGAGTTGTGTAAGTGTTATATAGTAGAAGGACAGTATGCAGTGGCTATATATGCATGTGTGTGTATGTATATGAGAACAGGAAAAGTTTCCTAAGGAAGAGAGTTTAAGTTGAAAAATTTAACACTCTTGTAAATAAACATTTATTTTCCTTTCAGAATTCTTTTAGAAAATAATTTCTGATAAAGTGGCATTTTCGTTAGCATTCCAGACTACCTGCAGTTTTCCGGTATAATCAGAGAAAATGCTGGTACAGCATAAGAACTTGATCTCTGATGTGTTTGTTTCTTATTAAAGGACAGTGCAATTATCAATGAGGATAATTTGCCAATGTTCCATCGTTGTGGGATCATGGCACTGGTTGCAGCGTATCTCAACTTTGTCAGTCAGATGATAGCTGTCCCTGCATTTTGCCAGCATGTTAGCAAGGTAATGTATTTAGAAAAGTTCTTAAACTTGAATTTTGTACAACATGGCTAATTTTATTCCAATGATGATTATTTTTAACTTTGGTGATTATCAAATTAAGATAATTCTATAAAAATATTCAGCCAGGCCGGGCGCGGTGGCTCAAGCCTGTAATCCCAGCACTTTGGGAGGCTGAGGCGGGTGGATCACGAAGTCAAGAGATCGAGACCATCCTGGTCAACATGGTGAAACCCCGTCTCTACTAAAAAAAAATAAAAAGACAAAAAGAAAAAAAAATATTCAGCCAGTAAATTGAAACTACAGCTAAAACTGTAGCTACTGTTTTTATATTTTCTTAGATGCCTGTTGTTTTATTAGAATTTTTAAATGTAGTGGTTGAATGGAATATACGGTTTTCTCCTAGAATACCTCATGTGATTTGTTCTATGACGTTTTTTCCTTTGAGCCATTATGAATCTTAGTATCTAAAGTTTCTTAAATTATACTCTTTTGTTGTCATTTATTCTAAACTACTTGAGGCAGATCCCAAAAGTTGAATAACTAATGTACATCTCAGAGAATTGTCCTATGTCTTTCAAATATATTTGTTTTCTTCAGCAGCAACTCTTAAATCGTGATTTGCCTGACTTAATAAACATTTCAAAGCCCCTAACTTACCTAGCAGAAAAAGTCCACCTTTAAAGACATTTGTGAGAGAACTTTCTTTTTCTTAAATTGAAAGCACATCATTTAGTCCTTAATAAAATGTAGGCTTTTAGTGTAGTCTAAGAAACAAACTCATCCATTCATTAAATCAAACATTTGATTGAATATTTGATGCCCATCACTAAAGAAATAAGTATTACAAAAGCAGACTACCTCTGCTCACAGTTCATTGGAGGAGCCAGACCACACGAGTGCCTTGACACCTTCTACACGGGTTGCAAAGGTAATGCAGCAGGTGGAAGATGGTGATTTGTAAAGCGATTCCCAAAATAGTGTATTTGAGAAAATAGATATTCTTGCTTTATCGTACTAGGCTTAATCGAATGTAATGTGTCATCATTTTTTGCTTTATATATTATTTTGTCAGTTTTATCTGCTACTTTTAAAATTAATAGATGTGAAAACAAAATAAACTTTATATTTAGGCTGTAAACTTAGCTTAAATTCAAAAGCAACGTGATGATATTGCTTATAAGTGTTCAAAGTTTTTTGTTTTTAAGCTGTTTTACAAAGTTTTATATCAGGGTCCTGAGGGTGGGAGTTTTTGATTTTTATTTTTGAATATTTTTTTCAGGTTATTGAAATTCGAACTATGGAAGCTCCTTATTTTCTACCAGAGCATATCTTCAGAGATAAGTGCATGTATGTTAATTCTTTACATTTTAAGGATACAGTACTTATGTCATAAACCCATCAATAATAATTATAAACGAGTAAACTATTGTAATAATTCCTGGTGCTTTAAGCTAATCTTCATTTTGTGTCTGTCATTTAATTCATTTAATTATCTCCTTTGTTATAAAAAGCCTTGCACATTGTGGATGTAGACTCATGCACAACATAGAGTCAATCTTGAAAAAATTTTTAAGAATAAGAAGACTTGGCAGGGCGCAGTGGCTCACACCTGTCATCCTAACGCTTTGGGAGGCTGAGGCGGATGGATCATCTGAGATCAGGAGTTTGAGACCAGCCTGGCCAACATGGTGACACCTTATCTCTACTAAAAAAATACAAAAATTAGCTGGATGTGGTGGCACACACCTATAATTCCAGCTACTCGGAAGGCCGAGACTGGAGAATCACCTGACAATGAGAGGTGGAGGTTGCAGTGAGCCAAGATCACGCCACTGCACTCCAGCCTGGGCAACAGAACAAGACATCTCAAAAAAAAAAAAAAAGGAATAAGAACACTTACCCCACTTTTTAAAAAATGTGGGATAGGTCTCTTAAATATAGCATATTTTATGTTCTCATATGTAAATGATCAAACCTTTAAGAGAGTACAGTATCCTGTTGAAGACCCTTTCAGTAATAGGTAACAATACTCATAATATGGTAGAAGAAAGAATGTATTAGGGAAAAATCAATGATATTTGCTGCATTATTCCTTATTCTCTAAAGAAAAGTATATATATGAATAATACTTTATTTGAACTTTAGCGCTGTAAAAGCAGTTTGTATTGAAAGCATTATCGTAAGATAATATCAAGCAGTTTGAAAGGAAAGTGAAACAGTGTGAGTGGCCAGGTACTTCCTAACACTTAGCTGGCTAATGTGGTTTTCATTAACGATCAGTGACCTACATTTTTCAGTACACCTTTTAATTAACATGACAATAAAAGCTACATTTAGTGTTCTTTGTGACTTAAGGAGTGGAGATCAACAGAGTAATATAAGGCTCAATTCGCTATTGGAACGTTACTGGGAGAAGCAGCACTGCAGAATGGTTAGCATATGGGACCACATGCTATGTGTTTTTAGAGTCAAATTCATTCGTTGCCTAAAATATACTGATTTTTCTCTTACTAACTACAGTTTATGTTGTGTTTATATTTAGAATATTGAGGCTTTTGCTCTGCAGTGTTTTGCATAGTAACTTATTTTTGCTCAATAAAATGCTGAATGATTGTTGTTTTGATGAATTTGGCAGGCTTCCAAAATCTTTAGAGAAGCATGAGAAAGATTTGTACTTTCTGACCAACAAGATTGCGGAGTCACTAGGTGGAAGCGGATATAGTGTTGAGAGATTGTCAGTACCATATGTACCGCAAGTAACAGGTAAGAGGAGGATAATTAGAACTCTTACTCCAATGATTGTTTATGTTATAGTAATTTTTTTTGTTACCCAACTAGCAATAAAAATTAATTCTGATGTGTGTACTTGTTATAGCCCAGTGATTTTCAGATGCTTAAGAGTATTTACTTCTGTTTTTAAATTTTGCTATTGAAAACTTTAGAAAATATCTAAGGACATAGATAGGATTTTACCATAAGTAAATCAAGTTTTTGAATATTTATTGTTATATACTTAATATTTTATTTAGTATTATAAAGTGAGATCTTATTAAATGATATTCTATGTAAGTCATGGGAATTGGTGAAAATTGATTAATGATAAGTGATTATTGAGCTTAATGAAGCAGGCAACTTTTGCTATTGAGTACAGACTATTGTTATACAAAGAAAACTGCAAACTTTTTGAGTTAGGAATTTCTTTTTCTCTGTGAACTATATATTTCCTTCTATTTTTTTATTGCCTGAAATAATTCTGTTTGAAGGCAAAATGGCATAGTGTCTTTTATTCAATTTTTACTTTAAAAACTAAAATCAAAGAATTTATATCTTATGCTCTCATTTTCATGTCATGACTATATAAATATTAAATTTGGTAAGTGAATTAGTTCTTTCTTTGGGGAAATCTCTGTTCTACAAGAGAACCATTTGATTTCACTTAGATTTCTGGGTTAGTCACTACAAGTAGCACAGTCTTTGTAAATGGCTTTTTTTTTTTTAAATAACATGGATCCAAAATATATGAATTTAGGACAGTAATAGTTGTTCATAACAGTCTGAGATGTTAATGAGTGCTTTTCCATTTTCTTTTAAATTTTATACTATAAAAGATTGTGCTCCTCAGGAATTATTTGAGGAAATACAAGAGCTAAGAATAAAATGTTATTAGATATTTATAATTTAAAAGATTTTTTTAAAACAGTTAAAATATTTTACTCTTATAATTTGGATTTAGCTCTCTTTCCTTCAAGCAAAAAACCTCATAAACCCAAGCACAAGTACAAAGGTAAATCCAGTTGTCAGTTTGACCTGCCCTTTCCCTCACCTGTCCTCTAAGAAAATAGCTTAATAAAAATGTGCCTTTTAGAAAATGGAGCCAGTGGCCTGCTTATTTTCTATAATTATTAGTTATTGTTTTCCTTTCTCTTCCTTGTAGCCATAGTTTATTTTTACCCGTTATTTCTTTTTATCCTGTTCCTTTAACTCTTAACAGTTTTTGATGAAAGCTTTGGCACTTTTTAAATTTTTAACAAATGGTCTGCACTTCCCTGATTCCTCCCACCCCTTAAAAAGATGTATTCTCTCATAATGCATCTTTATCATTGACTGGAATAATTCTGAATATTTTAGTGACTACTTAATTGTATAACTGCATAGAAAACTTACTAGATTTTTCTGATTTGTAAAGTCTGATACTTTAGTGCCTGTCTGTGGCATGTGTATCCTACCTTAATGCAGAAACAGAATAAACAGTGATATTTTATGGCATACTGAATCTGTAATTAAATTTCCTTTTGCTGTCTATCCATCAGATATTCATTTAAAAAATGCAAGGGATTTAAGAACAATATATTAAAAGAAAAAGCAGAACATATTTAGTTTGTTGTGTATTATGCAATACCCATCATCGTCACAATAGTAGCTACTATTTATTACGCACTGTGTGCCAGGCACTGTCATAAGTGCTTTGTATTCATTTCTTTATGTAATTCTTATAATGATTCGGTGAGGAAGGTAGCATTATCTTTGTTAACAAATGAGGATAGTGAGGCTAAAACTGAATTAAATGATTAGATGACACCACTAACAGCTTTTCCAGTTAGTTGCATAAATTATTTGATTTTGCTGTTTTTCAGGAGCTCAACAATTGTTCAAGCTCCAGAAAAATCCAGATTTATTTTTATCATTTATTTTTCAAACTTCTACTGATTGCCTACTACTTAATATATATCAGACACTGTTAGAACTTTCATAGGGTGGAAAGATGTTAAGATGCAATTTCTATCCTCAAAGAATACAATCTAGTGGGAAAAGCAGATGAATTATTGAAACACAATGATAACTAGATCTAGAGAAAGAACGATGATATGCCTAAAGTTTATTGAACTATTGATGCCTGGCATCATAATAATGTGATTGATAAATGTTAGCTGATTACTATATTTTACTTATCTCTAATCAACCTAGAATTCAAACGAATAGTATATGTTTAGGCCTGTGCCAAGTACTGCTTTATGAGAGGGAAACAGTAGTATCCCCCCATCTGACCCATTCAGAGGTACCAGTGGCTTCAGTCAACGCATACAGCAGTTATTTGAGTATTAAGCGAGCACCTCAGTGTGCCAGCTGCTGTGCGAGCAAAAGCCGGAATGAACAAGATGGGTAGGTCTCTACTTTCACAAAGCTCCTAGTTTCTCCCAAATATATTGTTCACTTGAACCACAAAACACAGGAGATGATTTGGTATTATTCTAGGTGCATAGGAAATAAGTTAATTTCATTATATAATTTTTCTCTAAGAAGATAAATAACCAGGCAATTGTAAAATGACTGTATGGCTATGATTAGGGATGTTTAGTAACCTGATAGCACATAAAATTATTTAATCCAGGTTTGGCAGGCCAAGGATATCTTCGAGAGGAAAAAGTCTCTAAGCTGAGCTTGAAACAGATGTTAGGCAAATGCTTCATATGACAGAAATGACACATGTGAAGGAACGAGGCAGGCAAGAACAGGATTTGTTCTGGTAATTAATACAGAGTGAAGATAGACTTCAGGGAGTGGAGTTAGGAATTGTAAAGCAAGGTAAACTAGTTTGAACTCTGTTCTAAAGGCAATGGGGAAGCATGAGTGATTTTAATCAGAGGATAACATGATCAGAGTTACATTTTAGAAATATTACTTTGCAGGCTGGGCGCGGTGGCTCAAGCCTGTAATCCCAGTACTTTGGGAGGCCGAGGCGGGTGGATCACAAGGTCAAGAGATCGAGACCATCCTGGTCAACATGGTGAAACCCCGTCTCTACTAAAAATACAAAAAATTAGCTGGGCATATTGGCGTGTGCCTGTAATCCCAGCTACTCAGGAGGCTGAGGCAGGAGAATTGCCTGAACCCAGGAGGCGGAGGTTGCGGTGAGCCGAGATCACGCCATTGCACTCCAGCCTGGGTAACAAGAGCGAAACTCCGTCTCAAAAAAAAAAAAAAGAAAAGAAAAGAAAAGAAAAAAAAAAAGAAGTATTACTTTGCTTATAGTTTTGCAAACCAGAGATGGGGTGACTTTATTTTGATGGCTCGTTAATTATTCTTAGGAAAAATGAGAATGGCCCATAATAAAGAGGCATCAGTGAGAATATGGAGTAGATAGATTCTAGAAAAATTTATGAGAGAGAATTTATAGGCTTGTGGTTGACATGGAGAGACAAGGAGAAAGCCAGGGATTTTGTCCAGGTTTCTGGCTTGGGCACTTGAGTGGATGGTGTAAAACTGAGAGGACACATAGGATTTACTTACCACTTCATTTGCTTGGTTTTTTTTGTTTGTGTTTTTTGTTTTTCTAGGAGGGAGATGAGTAATATAGCTGGTGTATTAGTCTTTTTCCATGCTGCTTATAGAGATATACCAGAGACTTGGCAATTTACAAAAGAAAGAGGTTTAATTAGACTTACAGTTACACGTGGCTGGGAAGGAATCTCACAATCATGGCAGAGGGGGAAAGACACTTCCTATGTGGTGGCAGCAAGAGAGAATGAGGAAGAAGCAAAAGTGGAAACCCCCGATAAACCCATCAGATCTTGTGAGACTATGTATTCACTATCATGAGAATAACATGGGAAAGACTGGCCCTCATGATTCAGTTACCTCCCACTGAGTTCCTCTCACAACACATGGGAATTCTGAAAGATGCAATTCAAGTTGAGATTTGGGTGGGGACATAGCCAGCCATATCAGCTGAGTTCAAGTGAAGAAGGAAAGAAGTACTTATTTCAACCGAAACTCTCTATAAGTAGTTTTGAATCTGGGGTATAGGAAAAAGTAGTGGGTTTTGGAGATAAGCCTCTTGTTGAGTATCTTTGAAAGTGGAACATGCAAGTAAAGTATCCTGTAGGCGGAGAGAGAACCAAAATGGCTGATCACTAGCAGCTCGGGATTGTAGCTCCCAGTGAAAGCACAGAGAACAAGAGGACACCACACTTTCAGACAAATTTTTGTTGCTCATGCACCAGGAGATTCCCAGCGGAGGAGCCCCACGGGTCGCCAGCACGTCTCTTGTGGTCGGCGAGGCGGTTTTGCCTCCGTGCGGAGGTTCTTAGTGCAGAGTCAGAAAAGCACCATCAATCTTTTTTTTTTTTTTTTTTTTTTTTTTAAGACGGGGTTTCACCATGCTGGTCAGGCTTGTCTTGGACTCCCGACCTCAGGTGATCCACCCACCTTGGCCTCCATAGAAGCACCATCAATCTTAACACCACTGTTTTAGCCGGCACAGTGGGTTGCTCAGATTCCGGGCACTGGGAATCAACAAGTTGGACGTCTACTCAGAAACCCAATTACAAAGACGATAATTATAAAGACCACAGATGGATAAATTTACAACGAAAGGAAGAAAACAGCCTAAAAAGGCTGAGAATACCCAAAATCAGAATGCCTCTCCCTCAACAGCGGATTACAGTTCCTCATCAGCAATGGAACAAGGCCAGATAGAGAATGAGTGTGTTCCATTAACAGAAGCAGGCTTCAAAAGGTGGATAATAAGAAACTTCTGTGAGTTAAAAGAACTTGTTCTAACCCAATGCAAAGAAACTAAGAACTTTGAAAAAAGGTTTGACGAAATGTTAACAAGAGTACACAATTTAGAGAGGAATATAAGGGAATTGATGGAGCTGCACAACACGAGAACTTCGTGAAGTATGCACAAGTTTTAACAGCAGAATTGATCAAGCAGAAGAAAGGATATCAGAGGTTGAAGACCAACTTAATGAAATAAAATG